CTGCATAGAGCCGGTGGTGCTAGTCCCAGATGGCATCACTGCAATTTGCTGCACACATCTACGTGGTTGGCATCGAGGAGAACCAAGGAGCAGCAAAGGAAGAAGCAAGGGTGTTGGCGCTGAGAGGAACACCAAGCAAACATATCCAAGACTTGGAAATGGCACCAGGTTGGCATCGGTTGCCCAATGGCATAGTTGCCTACAGTGATCCCATCGCAACAACGCTTGCAGATCCACGAGGCCAAATTGAAGAGAAGTGGAAATCACGACTGACCTTGGTCAAGGACGATGGTGGGATGTGGACACAGGTGGAGAATGAAGAGGACTACATGTCTTTGGGAGAAGCTGCATTCCGGAGAATCGGGCTTGGAGGACGACCAGTTCGCACAATCAGCTTCTTCGCCCCATCAAAGATGGAAGACTACTGGGAACCAGATTCAGAAGTTCCAAAGAAACCGTTCCCTGAAGAAAGAACAAGAGAGAAGGAAGGAAGGTTGGACTGGTCTGAGGATGACCGAGAAGAGGAAGAAGAGCTGGAAATGCAGATAGATGCGAAGGACATCGAGAAGATGGTGGTTGCATCAAGACCAAATGAGGTGGAACTCGATGAAGTGGTATATACAGACAAAATGTCCGTCAAGGAGCTGCAAATGGCTTGCAAGGAGCGAGAACTTCCACACAGCGGCAGCAAACGACGATTGCTGGATCGATTGATGGCATTTCGCACCAATCTGGAAAACCAGATGAAGCTTGGCATCGCCAACAAGTTGTATGAGGAGCAATACAGGAGGCCTCAAATGTTGGGACAGCCAAAACTGCCATCAAGAAAAGATCAGGAAGCACACTTCGTCGCCCACATTCCCTACGCTCCCTGGTGCCAAGCTTGTGTGGCCAGTCGGGCCAAGGAAGATCACTACGTTGCACGGGAAGAGAAGGAAGACCTGGGCAAGAATCTGATTCAGTTGGATTTCTGCTACACCTACACTGGAGAAGAGAAAAGGATGGAGGATACGCCAGTGGACAAGGTAGCAGAACGCTCAGATCAGTTTGGGACTTGCTTGGTGATGACATCATCCGAGACAAAAGCAATACATGTGGTACCCATACCCACAAAGGGTACAGCAAGTCTCAAGACAATCACTGAGGAGGTGATCCGATTCTCCCTTGAGAACAGTGGCAGAGACCCGTGCATCTTCCAGGGCGACTCAGAAAGGTCTATGAGACTAGAGCAGTAATGGGTTTGACGTGTGAAGTGCGGCTGACAGGCAGTGGGCAGCACGCTTCGAATGGACAAGTCGAAAGGGCCGTACAGACGATGAAGAAGATGGCCAACAGTCTGAGATCCTATGCCGAAGGGATGGCCTTCATCAAGATCATGGGGAACCTGCACATGTACCCTTGGTCATTCAGGTATGCTTCATTCCTGATCAACAGGTTTCGAGTCCTGGAGAAAATCGGAAAGACCAGCTACGAGCTCGCCACAGGACATGCGTACCGAGGCAAACTGGCATTGTATGGGGAGACGGTGATGTTCAAGAGACTGACGAAATACAAGGCCAGTGATACCTTCGAAAGAAGAATTTGGGTCGGGAAGCAAAGTTCGAACGACAACCACATCATCCTCACACCTGAAGGAGCTTTTGAAGCGAGGACGATCAGAAGGCTGGCAGTTGAAGACTCGTTCAGGGCAACCGACATGATCATTGCCAAGGGGTTGCCATGGTCGTACTCGCCACAGGGAATCATGATAAAGCATGGTGGCTCAGCACAAAGGTACAGGCAGCCGACATCGGAGAACGAAGCCACGGAAGAGGAGACGAAGGCCATTACTGAGGCAGTGGCAGCAGGAGTGGTCACTCCGGCGCCGGGGTTGAGGCCACAACCTACAACACCAGGCCTTCCCGTGGCAGCGCCCACAACGCCAGCCATTGGCCGAGAGACCCCAAGGAAGAGGAGTGCAGAGGAGACGCAAGAAGAGCCTGAGGCGAAGCGGCGCGATGACGAGGATTCGCCTCGAAGGGTGCATGATACAAGGGAGACACACCACGAAGATCACGAAGAGAATGGGAAGAAACAGAGGACAGATGTGAAGAGAGAGGAGGAGCAGCAGGAACAAGTTCGACAAGGGAGAGTGAAGTCGAGCAGATGGCAAGCTCATCCCCCACCAAAATCCCCAGGCTGTATCCACCACAGTACGCTGGGATTCAAGCCATTGAGGCACATGGGGATGAAGAGATAAATGACGAGCTGATCCCTGAGGCATTGACCGAGGAGTTCTTTGCAGGATATGGAGGGAATGAAGAGGATGAGCCTCCGATCACCACAGAGGCACATTTGGAGAGATTGGACCATGAGGCAAGATAAAATGAGGTGAACAGGATGATCGACATCCCAGCCATGGTCGAGTGTGCCCCAGAAGAAGTAGAGAAGGAAGGAGGGTACATCATCTCGACAAAGTTTGTCCTCACGTGGAAACACAGGCTCGAGCAAGGAGGTTGTTGGTTTCGAAGAGCGAGATTGGTGGCCAGGCAGTTCAAGAGCAGCGTGAATATAGAGCAAACATTCGCGCCCACGTCCATGCTAGTGGTGCCGAAAATGTTGATCCACTTGCTGCTGAACGTCTGCCGTGATTTCGTGGCCATGACGCTCGATATCAAAGACGCCTTCCTCATGGCCGACCAGCCGAAAGAAGAGAAAGCCTATGTGGATGTGGACAACGTCATCTACAGGCTGGTGAAGTGCCTCCCAGGCCAAAGGACGGCAGCGTCCCAATGGTTCCAGCTGTTTGCAAAAGCAGCAAAGGACTTTGGACTTGAGCAAGATGTCATGCAGCCCACGCTACTCATGAAGACAAAAGAGATCTACATCACTGTATACGTTGACGATGTCTTCATGGTGGGAAAAGAAAAGAATTTGAGGGCCTTTGTGAACTACCTCAAGGAGGAGATGAAGTGGAGTGTTGAAGAGAAAGGCCCATTCCACAGTGGTGAGACTTTTCACTGCTTGAAGAGAGAGTTTGTGCTGTATGACGAATGGTGCGACATCAGGTGCGACTACAGGCAATACGAAAGTTTGGCCAAAGACGTGGACATCTTCCAGAAAGCGTACAGAAAGACGCCCCACAAATCAAGAGTTCAGCAAGAAGGATGACAGCGAAGAGCTGCAAGGTGAAGATATCACTCGCTACAGGAGTGTGGTGGGCCGTCTGATGTATTTAGCAGGTGAAAGGCCAGATGCTCATCCAGAGTTTGGCAAAGTTCATGGCGAGACCCACGAAGCAATCCTGGAAGAACGCCTGGCATGTGTGTTCATACCTCCAAGGAACACAAGGCTTCGGAGTGAGACTAGCTGCAAGAGCCAAGGGACAGACAATCATGGATGTGAGAGAGGCTGACGAGGTGGAGAACAAGGAGAAGCATCTGCTGGAAGTGGTGTGTGACAGCGACTACGCTGGCAACAGAAACGACCGCAAGAGCACATCCTCATTCCAAATCCTGCTGGATGGAAACCTGATGGAGTCAAGAGTCCGATCCCAGAAGTCGATCTCACTGTCATCAGGTGAAGCAGAGTTCGTGTCCATGGTTGGAGGGTGCTCTGACGGACTACTTGTCCGGCACCTGTGGATGAAGATGGTGGGTGAACAATGTGAGATGAAAGTGAGGTCAGACAGCTCGGCAGCACGCTCCATGGTCCAGAGGCAAGGCATCGGCAGGGTCAGACACTTAGACGCCGCCCTGCTTTGGATCCAGCAGAAAGAGAAGGACAAGATCCTTGCAGTGAGCCCAATACCAACAGAGTTGAACTCCGCGGACATCGGCGCGAAGGGCCTCACACGAAACAAATTGTTTGGCCTGCTGTATATGCTGAAGATGATCAACAGTGCCGGTGATCGAGTTGGAATTGAGGAGTACAAGGAGCTTGAGCATCGTGAGAGGATGAGGAAAGGAACGCAAAAGGTGCTGAAGAACAAGAACCTTCATGTTGGCTTGATATGGCTGCTCTCCAACTTGGAGAGTGTAGCTGGATCTCCTACAGATGAGGCCAACAACGAAGAGGGCGATAGCTGGACATGGATCTGGCTGATGCATGTGACAATCGGGGCCTTGAGTCTGATTGAATTGAGTGGCTGCGGCAGCATCTGTTGGAGGTAGCCTGCATGGCTTGGAGCTACATCAAGGTCACCTTCAGCAAGACGATCAAGGAGATCATGAAGTACAAGAATGATGAGAAGAAGATTCACGACAAAGCAACCCAAACAGAAGGGGTTGGGAAAGATGATGAAAAGAAGGAAATGGAAACAAAGATCTTCCAGCTCGACACCTACATCGAAGAGCTGGAGGATTCAAATTCGAAGTTGAAGGAGCAGCGCAGCATGGTACTACAAGAATGCTGGCTGGCTTCAGACCATGGGAAAAGGCTAATGGTGCGCAGCCTGAGGTACAGAATCTGCCAATACGGCAGGAAGCTTCCTTTTGAAGCTGGTTGCCCGCATTTTGCCGGAGCAACAGGCATCGAGCATTGTTGCGTATGTCTGAGGGTAGAGGGCGTGTCAGAACATGATAACAATCCAGAGACAGACCCTCAGACATGACACGCGCAAATCGAGAACACGCTGACGCATTAGGCCCACGCGAAAATAGCGTTCACGCTTCGCAAACTGGTTATGTATATAATTGGAAGCAAATTGAAACCAAACCACACACACAGTATAATACAGTATTTGATTTTGAAAGCCTTTTCTGTAAGGGGCTCCAAGTGGACAACGTGTAAACATATGATTCAATATGCGTTATTGACTTTCAAATTGTTGCCAAAGGCATGTTTAATTGGTGACCAAGTACAAAAACATTTCAATACCTGTTCTGTGGTAGCCTAGCCCTGCGTGCGTAGTGTTTCACCTCGGTAGGCTCTCGGCTCAAGGGTGACCATGAGGGTCGCTCTAGTTTTACTCGGTTCGCTCGTCCATCCGCTAGGAGGGCTTTGGCCCTTTGCGGTAGACGATGAAAACCGCACGTGCGACAAAGCAGGTGCGTGCGCGCCGGGAGGACCGGAGCCCACTTCTTCCCGTGGCTCGGATGCGAGCCCGGGAGCTGCTCACTGGTGGTTCAACTGGTCCTGGGAAGGGCCGGCCGACCCGAAAGCCAGTACCGCCAAACGAGGCGATGGTACTTCCGGCTCCTGGCCGGAGTACTCTGGGAAATATGGGAAGGAGGCCTGACGTGGTGCGGGACCTTGCGCGCTTCTATCGGCTTAGCAGCCCGGTGGACCTACTGGCTGGCCACCGCCACCATTGTTTTGGGGATGCTGCAGCTGACCTATTGGACCTACGTTTGGGTGGACAACAACTCCCCTACGACCTCCTGGTGACTGACGGAGTCGCCGTGGCCAGAATGAGGCATGGAGCCATCCGAGGCCGCACCAACAGACATGGGTTCCTTTGCCGCTGCGACAGCGTGCACGGGGCCTCGCATAGGTATTGGCGACGATGCCTTGAACGGGCCCAGTGCCTGGTACACCTATGCTCAGTCTTACTGGCTGTTAAGCAGGAACAGGGGAACCAAGAGGATTGAAGGATTCAGAGAATGTCTCTCCTCTCTCTCTGTTTCAGGTTCCTCTCCTCAAGGTTTCTCTCTCTGTGTTGGTCATGCAAGTTGATGCATGGATGCATGGTACATAGGGGCAGGAGCTGGTGTGCTTCACAAACAGAATGAATGATTCCTGCTGAATCACCTGGCGCCTTGCACGCTACATGACTTCAGACGGCCCAAATGCACCAACTTTCCAACACACCCAAAGGTGTGTCTCTTGAAGGTGTCAAACCGTTCCTTTTGAACACCAAAATCAATCAAAACATCTTCTTGGCGGCGTTGTTTCTGGATGATATTTTGAAGTTTTTTTGGCGGTTAAGATGCTGGACAGCGTTTTGTATATCAGATGCTTATATATATATATAT